GCCCCGGAGGCAGACACTTTTTCATTTGGTCCGGGCGCTACAAAAATTTTTTTGGTGTTGCATTTTTTAAACGGGCCCCCCCCGTTGGGACCCTTCAGAATTTCCCTTCCGTGAGGTCCCGGGGGGGTGCAAATTTCCCCAGTTTGGGGCATTTTTTTTTTTCCAATTACTGCGGGTTTTTTGGATGTTGTCGTTTTTTTGTTTTTTTGTTTTCCCGGGTTTTTGGGGGGAAAAGAGTGAACGGACCAGGGGGTGTGTGACAGGCAACTCCAAGGGTACGCCTTTTCCTGGGTCCCTTTTTTTTGAAGTGTTGTTGTTTTTTCGCATGGGGTGCTGCCCTTTTTCCCTCTTAACAGGAGGATGGCCGGTTTTTTGTTCATATTTTGGGAAGGTACCCGGGCCGGGGGAAACCCCGGCATTTCGGGACTTCCCCGCTTTGGGGGGCCGGGGGGTCAATGGTGTCATGCCTTGTTACGGCAACCTTTTTATTGGAGTCCCCCCCCCCCCCCCCCCCGGAGACTCTGACACTGGCGCGTCTTCATTTTCATCTATTGACCACGAACGGCTGTTGGTTGAGCACGTTGTACAACACCAACACCATGCTGTTATTTTTTTCTTGTATTTAGGAAAGAACACGTATGCATGGAACTCAACCCCGCCCCCACCCGGCACCAGTACTGCACGAGCCGGTCGCGGGTGTTTGGTAATCGTCCAACCTTCTGGTTATCTACGTTGCGGGTTCGAGGACCTCCGAGTGAAAAAAGCGCACTCCCGAGGTGGAGAGCGCATAGTCCGCGACCGTGAAAAAACAACACAAGAGAGAAGGAACGAAGGGACTACGCTGTGAGGAGAACCGTTGCCTCTTCGAACTTGGAAGGTAAGGACCGCAGGGGGAAAGGTGGAATAGCAAAAAAATCGACTATGGTCGTGATTACTTTTATCTTAAAAAACATATACATACCCCAAACTGCGTGACCCTACTGGTTGCGTCAAAGAAAATAAACATGTACCCACAGGTGTGTGTGTGCCCGTCCCATCTATTCTGGCGCCTGTTTACACGTGGTGTAAAAAATTTCAGGTTTGGGGATTCAGGGTCGGTCTTAACGAAGAAATCAGATCTCGAAATCACATTCACATTTGGTTATAAGACCGGAAGATCCACATAACTCTTTCGTTGATTGGCTGAAATGTTATGGAACCCGTCGAATCTTCAGGACTTACAACAGGACGACCCAAAACCAAATCGGGATTAGAAAAAAGGTGAAATCATTTAATCGGATCCCGATTTGGGTTAACAGCGTCCATAGTTGCGGGACCACGGTCTACTCGCATACACCGCGCGTGCCCACCTACCCCCATCCACACGAACTCCATCCACCGCCGAGCCCAGAGGAAAGAAAGAGCGCAAAAAGCCAACCCAAAGGGAGGGTGACTGCGCATCGTTGTTGCACGTGACTGGTCCCGAAAAAAACCGTGTGTGTGATGTGTTGGTCTGTGGGGCAATCTCACGTGGGTTGTCGAACTTCAAATGCACAGACGAATTGGCGGCTTTCCGTCGGACGAGGGTCGATTCAAAGTGTCACATGCATAGACATCGTGTCAGAACCGCACAGAGGCCATGTACGCGTTTGGTGTGTGCTTCTCGGGAGCGATAGCTCCCCATGTGGTGTGGCCACGTCATAGCAGTACGTCACAACAGCAATCTGGCAGTTGGCAAGCGGCGGACCTCTCGGGTTGTTCGTGGTGGACTGGAGAGATTCGTTTCCATTTGGCAGATCTGCCGTTAAGACACACAGGCCATTTCTGTCCGGATTTGGGTAGATCCGACTCTTGCATTCTTATATCGAAATGTGATTTCGAGATCTGATTTCTTCGTGAAGACCGACCCTCACGTGTCTACCTCTCTACATTTTTCAGGTTTCGGGATTAATTATTTTTCAGGTTTCGGGAGTTTATATATCATATATTGGAACCCCTAACAATGGGACGCAGCACACAACCAACAAGACACGCAAACATCACGGCCACCTATGCACAGCTCCAAGCAGAACTGCAGCGGCAAGTAAAAAGTGAACGTAGGCAGCAGAGTTAATTGCGAAATGCTTCTGTGAAAATGTATGCGCCATGCATACCGAACGTGGTTGTTGTCTTCACATTTAAGGACCGTTCCGGTCTCCGCTCCATCCACAACATGAAGTAGACTACACCTTGTAATTTCCGAACTGGTCCAACTGACGGGGACGCCTTGCGCATATGCTAGAAAAAAAAAAAAATGGTGGAGATGTCGAAATGTGTACCTTTACCACACCGCAGCAGTATCATGGTACATGCATACATAGCACACGGCACCACTTTGAAATATGAAGTTGAACTGCTGTTTACAGCAGCAGCAGCAGACTGCTGGTGAAATCATGCCAGAAGGTCCCAAAGTCACGCAAGAGACAGACAGCCTGGCCGACGACCGTCACGCAAAGCCCACAGCGAATGAGAACATGAGGAGGACCCAATGTACTAGAGCAAGCTTCCGGTTCGTCAGCCAACCATCGTATCTACATCTCGTACAAGAGCAGCTGGGTCTACAGCAGTTTGTAAAGAAGAGAGCAGCACGATCTCCCAACATCAGTAGCACTACTGCTGCACAACTCTGTATCCATTCCATTTTTCAAACACAAACTATGTTACCAGCTTATGTTTTATCAGCTTATGGTATTTACGTGCAGAAGCAAGACTGAAAGCGTGACCCTCGCGGCGGCGTACTGCTACCGTAGCTTCTTGTCACCGTCAAACCGCTTCTGCTGTGCTCTTGTCGCACCCTCTATATGTTCGCGACACGTCGTCGAAGCGAGACCGTCTCCGTCGACACGCACAGAAGGCGGAAGACGGCGGCGATTTGTGTTGTTATTTTCTCGACACCTAACACACGGCTGATCGTACGACAGACTTACCGACTTGAATGTTGCTATTGCTCCGCATTATCAAGAGAAGAAGCTATTTTTCTTGCAAAATTCTCGGGGGAAATTGGCGACGCCCACGCTACCAAGCGCCGGTACCAGCTACGGTGCAGAGAGGCACGCACTGCTAGGGCTAGAGACGAACAGACATCGCAGCATGTGCTACCCCTGCAACTGCGAACGGGGGATAGGAAACGACGGCAAAATGTAGGCACCAACAACCAACAACGGCAGCAGCATGCAGAACGAGCGGCACACACCTTCTTTCCGTTCTTGCAATTTCGCAGTGCACCAAGTGTGTAAAGTCCCGAAGCTCACGAAAGCCGCGGCCACGCCAGCTACACACCGGCGAAACGAGTCTCGCTTGGGGATCTTATTTCCATCCGAAAAGGGGCGCGTCCTTGGCAGCGTGCTCACAGAGACATTTGTATTGTGCGGCTATTTAGCGCCGCTCACGTTGGTCGGCGGGGGGTTCCGTCTATCAATGTTTTTCGATCCCCCTACATGCATTCAGCAGTGTAAATGATCTCCTTGCATGCTGTTGCCCCACAGCAGTCCAAGCCAAAAGCTCTGCCCGCAGCAGCGCAGCAGCAGCGCAGCGCGCAAGCATCTCAGCCGGAACGACGGTCTGGGGTAAGGAAAGGCAGAAGACCCTTCGCATGACATGTCGAACCTGAGCTACCATCAGCCTAAGGTGGAGCTCAAGCCCACGAGGCTACTGGCGCGCACGATCTACGCCCACCACAGCTACGTTTCAAGCGTCGCGTTCTTTGGATCCCAGTGCGACCGTCTCCTCACAGGCAGCTACGATGAAACGGCGAAGGTGTGCACTTGCTCCAGAGACTACGTGTCCCTCCTTTCTCCGCCGTCCTCTCTATGGATGCGCACCTCTCTTTTCTCTCTCTCGCTCTCTCTCTCACATCTCTCACGCACAAACGCGGAGACCGAAACGAGATGATATTTTGAAATTTGAATTTCAAGCAAGCGTTCCCCCCTTTGGCCGTGCAGACGAGGACATTTCAACCGCCAGCCGCCGTCTGGATTGGATAGTATCGCCTTGGAGCGTGTTTCCATTCTGCGCTGGAACCAATAGCATAGACTGTTGCTGCATGTACTGCATGAACTACTTCCGCTTCCGGAAATGGGGGTAATTTGTGTTCGCTCGACGAATGAATGAAAATGAAATTGAATTTCTCTCTTTGGCGTTCTGCACATCATTCCAAGGAGTCGGGAGTCCTGCACGGCGGTACTCGTGCATTCTGGAGTGCTTCCGCTCCATGCGCACCTTGTAAAATGCACGGCGGTAGCTGCTAACCTTATTTTCACGGCAACAATGTGCTTCAACCCTTGCTGAGGGCCAAGGTCTTGCTCAGGCATGACAAGGAGCAAATCCTTCATCCCAACCGGAACCTTCCCTGCAGTATGTAGATATTAATATTATAGCATCTTTCGGAACGTGTCTCTATCTTAGCGCCTGTACTGTAGCTATACTGAAGTACATAATTTTATATGTGTGCACTTGCGGCATGAAGCTGCATGCAGACAGCAGAAGGCAGGCAGTACCCTCACACCGCAAGAGTTCATGCTGGTAATCATCCACCCCTCCCATCGCAAACCCGTGAATATTTTTGTTTCAACCCCGCTCCTGCTTTCTCGACAACGCAACGCACGTTCTCTCTGTCCCTGCTGCAATCGACATTTTCCATTGCGTTTCCGGAACCCAACCCCCAATCCCAATCGTAATACCCAGCTTTGGGACCTCAAGACCGGCCTCGCCCTCCAGAAGTTCCAGGGCCACACCGACGGCATAACCTTCGTCATGCCGGGCCCCGACGGCCGAGTCCTGACGGCCAGCGAGGACCGTACCCTGCGCGTCTGGGACGTGGACACGGGCGAGTGCCTCCGCGTCATCCGCTCCCACAGCGGCGCAGTCACCTCGCTCTGCCTGGCCGGGCCCGACCGCATCGTCACCGGCTCCTCCGACAGGAAGCTCCGGGTGTTCGACGTCGCCGGCCATCTCCACGGCGAGACCGAGCTCGACAGCGAGATCACGGCGGTCGCGTCGCCGCCGCTGCCGCCGCCGCCGCGGCTTCGACCCCACCGCGGCGGCGGCGGCGGCGGCG